CAGAGCTAAGTGACCCCACAATCAACGGATCAGATCTAACCTCTGCAGTTCTACCACATCTAGTCACGAATGGTGGTGAACAATTAAACAACTCAGTGGAGGAGGAGGTGGCTCTACAAATATCCCCATCCTCAATGATAGGCAAGTCCAATAAACCAAATGTAAAAGATAAGGCTAAAGCATTTGCAGCAATCTTCAGCCAGGTGTGCCAGGAATCAATGGAAATCAGGAGACAAATTCTCTGCTCATTAGAGTCATGGCTCAGTGGCTAGCACTGCTACCTCACAGTGCCAGGGACTCGGGTTTGATTCCCCCCTCAGGCACCTGTCTGTGTGGAGTTTGCACATTCTCCCTGCGTCTGTGTGGGGTTCCTCTGGTTTCCTCCCACAGTCCAGGGACATGCAGCCGAGGAGGACTGGGCATGCTAAATTGCCAACAGTGTCCAGGGATATACAGGTTAGGTGGATTAGCCACGGAAAATGCAGGGTTACAGGGATAAAGGTAGAGGGGTGAGTCTGGGTAGGATTTTTTGCGGAGGGTCAATGTGGATCTGATGGACCAAATGGCCTGCTTCCACAGTGTCGGGGTTTTATAGTTCTGTACCTGGCACATAGGAAGATGGTTGTGGTTGTTAAAGGTCAGTCATCTCATTTCCAAGACATCTCCACAGGAGTTCCTCAGGGTAGAGTCCTAGGCCCAACCATTGTCAGCTGCTTCATCAATGTCCTTCTCTCCATCATAAATGTCAGAAGTGGGATGTTCGCCAATGATTGCACAATGTTCAATACCAGTCGTGACTTCTCAGGTACTGCTTAAACATAACGAGATCTGAACAAGTGGAGCAAGAAAGTTGATGTTTCGGGTCGGGAACCTTCTTCAGAAATGGGGAGAGGGAAGGGAGCTCAGAAATAAATAAATAGAGGAGGGGTGGAGCTAGGGAAGGTAGGTGGGATGGTGATAGGTGAATGCAGGTAGGGAGTGGTGGGGATTGGTCAGTGAGGTGGGAGGGCCAGAGATAGTAGGAACTGCAGATGCTGGAGAATCCGAGACAACAAGGTGCAAGGCTGGATGAACACAGCAGGCCAAGCAGCATCATAGGAGCAGAGAGGCTGACGTTTCGGGCCTAGACCCTTCATCAGAAAAGGGGGAGGGGAAGGGGGTTTTGAAATAAATAGGGAGAGAGTGGGAGGCGGATAGAAGAGGGATAGAGGAGAGGATAGGTGGAGAAGAAACAAACAGGTCGAAGAGGCGGGGATGGGGCCAGGAAAGGTGAGTGTAGGTAGGGAGTTAGGAAGGGATGCAGGGTTCCCAAGCGGAATATGAGTTGCTGTTCCTGCAACCTTCGGGTGGCATCGTTGTGGCACTGCAGGAGGCCCAGGATGGACATGTCGTCTGAGGAATGGGAGGGGGAGTTGAAATGGTTCGCGACTGGGAGGTGCAGTTGTTTGTTGCGAACCGAGCGTAGGTGTTCTGCAAAGCGGTCCCCGAGTCTCCGCTTGGTTTCCCCGATGTAGAGGAAGCCACACCGGGTACAGCGGATGCAGTATACCACATTGGCAGATGTGCAGGTGAACATCTGCTTGATGTGGAAAGTCTTCTTGGGGCCTGGGATGGGGGTGAGGGAGGAGGTATGGGGGCAGGTGTAGCACTTCCTGCGGTTGCAGGGAAAAGTGCCGGGTGTGGTGGAGCTGGAGGGGAGTGTGGAGCGGATGAGGGAGTCACGGAGAGAGTTGTCCCTCCGGAAAGCAGATAAAGGTGGGGAGGGAAAGATGTCTTTGGTGGTGGGGTCGGATTGCAGATGGCGGAAGTGTCGGAGGATGATGCGTTGGATCCGGAGGTTGGTGGGGTGGTACGTGAGGACGAGGGGGATTCTTTTTTGGTTTTTATTGCGTGGACGGGGTGTGAGGGATGAGGTGCGGGAGATGTGGGAGACACGGTTGAGGGCATTCTCGACCACCGAGGAGGGGACCAGATGGGTGGGAGTGAAGATGGACAGGTTGTGTCAGGTCAAGGGTCCACTCCCTATTTTTGAAGAAGGGTCCTGACCTGAAACATCAACTTTCCTGCTCCACTGATGCTGCCTGGCCTGCTGTGTTCCTCCGGCTCCACACTGTGTTATCTCTGACTCCAGCATCTTACTATGCTTGAACAATATCCAAGCTTGGGCTCAAAGTGGTAAGTACCATTTGTGCCACAAATGTCAGGCAATGACGATCTCCAAGAGTCAACCTAACCACTGCTGCTGGATATTTAGTGGTGTTACCATCACTGAATCCCCACTATCAATATCCTCGAGGTTACCACTGATCACAAACAACTGGACTTGCCATATAAACACAGTGGCTACAAGAGCATGTGAGACGCTAGAAATCTTGCAGCAAGTAACTCACAATTCCCCATAGCCTGTCCACCATCTACAAGGACAAGTCTTGTCTGGATGAGTGCAGCCCCAACAACACAAGAAGCTTGACATTATCCAGGACAAAGCATCCTGTTTGAATGGCACTACATTTACAAGCATCCACTCCTTCCACCACCGAAACTCAGTACACATTGCTGCTACTATCTACAAGATACACTGCAGAAATTCACAAAGGCTCCTTAGTCTGCACCTTCTAAACCCTAGACCACTTTCACCTAGAAGGACAATGGCAGCAGATACATGGGAACACCACCATCTACAAATCCCCCTAGAAGCCACTCACCATCCTAACTTGGAAATATATCACTGTTCCTCACTATCACTGGGTCAAAATCCTGAAATTCCCTCCCTAATGGCATTGTGGGTCAACCTACAACACATGGACTGCAACAGTTCAAGAAGGCAGCTCACTACCACCACCTTTTCAAAGGCAACTAGGGATGGGCAAGAAGTACTGACCAGCCAGCGATGCTCACATCCAATGAGTGAATAAAAAAAATGAAACGTTCATCTGTTCTATAATATACCTAATGTAAATTGTACGATGGCAAGAGGTTCTCAAAAAAATGCTGAACAGTTTTTACAATGTTGTTACGCTGCACTATTTATGAGATGTCAGATTGTTGCCATCAGTTTTCAAGATTTCAAGTTCGGTAACTGAGTGAAGACAAATAGACAATCATGTCAAGTCAAAAAACACATAACTAACTCCATGAAATTGCATCAAAAGTAGAAAACAAATGTCTGATTTATAATGTCAAATGGTATGTTACATTCATTTCACAAGGCATTAGTATCTTGTTTAAAACTACATGTCATTACATTTGTAATAAATTTTCACTTCCTATGAAACACTGCAGTGTAAAAAGAAGCCATGAAAGTTACAGTTGCATGTTATCCTAAAGAAAACCCAACGTTTCTTACTAGATATTGGGTAATATTGACTTAAGTGATTGTTTCTAAACTGACTTCCGATCTCAGGAATGTGTCTACTGTTGATCACTGTGATAATATCACTTCTCTTCAGTCTTCCTGCTTCTCTCAATCCCAGTGCCAGGCAATAGGCTCTGGGGGGCTCATGAGGAGATGAGGACTACTTGCTTATTTCTTTGTATAGCAGCAGAAGCTGCAGTGGAGTTGGAGAAGGTGGTGCTGGGTTTAGCCCAAGGACTTTGATTCCAGTCGGACCCAATGATTTTTAATCTTTTTATTCAATTTTGCACTGAGTTTTTTTTTTAAAAATAAACCTTCATTCTTGGAAATGGGCAAGCTTGGGTAGAGAAAGACCGGCAGATATCATAAATCCTCAGTTGTCTGTTGAGCGTGTGAGAATGAGCCACATGAACCACTGCCATCCTGTGCCGAAGGTGCTGACATGATGCTTTCTTTTTCCCTAAAGAGTATCCTGATTATCACACTGCAATAATGAACAAACAGTGAAATATCTTTAAGTTGACAAACACAATTGGCATTTATATAGAATCCTGACTGTAATAGGTCTTAGAAGAATTCCACAGACATTACATCAGAAGCCTTGTTATTGAAGAACATAAGACAAATGATCAAGAGCTTTGTCAAAGACGTCAGCTTGAAGGAAAGCCTTAAAGGAGAGGAAATCAGAGAGGTTAAAGGAGAGAATTGCAGAGCTTATGGCTGAAGGTCTCAGTCACTAATATACTAGGAAGAAGAGGGTTTATCACAATATGTGATGAACTCTGGTTTGCACAAACTCAGATCCTGTGTGCTCCTACGTGATGTCAACTGGACAGTGATATTGCCGGCTCCACAGTAATTTCCCCAGTTGAGAGATTTTTCTTACTCCACTGCTTCTGATATCTTTCTAAGTGCAGGCTCCAGGAGAAAAGACTTTCAAACTGAACACAGCGAGATTGTTTCGGCAGGGGTGGGGGTGCTGTGGTGGTGGTGTTTATGAGAATTCATTCTCATATACAACATATACCCCGTTACATGTGCTCTGTTATCAGTGAAATTTCCACGGCTCTCGGGTTGAATGTTGTTACTTTATTGCGGATCTGAATCCACGTTCATTCAGCGTTCTGCTTCACCTCTGCCCTCATCGATCACCCCTCTGCCATTGATTAACTTCTTTGGTTTCTGACAAGTGAAATATTGGAGAGATAAAATACACCCATTTTATCTGCTAAGTTTATAAATGAGGTTTCCACCGCTGCCCAATGCCTGACCATGTGCTGCTGTCTTTATCATCTCACTGCATCTTTTAAAGTCAGGAATCGTTTTTCCTACACTAGTCTATTTCTCTTCCAGTTCCGAGCATATACTGATTATCAAATTCCGCACTATTTGTGTTCCCATATTGTACACCTTGACCCACGATTTTTACCTCTCCATTGACATTCTGTGCTGGTCACAAACAGCCAATGAATGGGCCTAAGGACCTTTGGTTGTGCTATACATCTAAATGTATAGCCAAAAGTTTTCCCACTTCTTTTCTTAAAGATCATAAACCATTAAAAAAAAAGGCACAGGAGAAATATGCATGAATTAAAAATACTGTTTAATAAGTACGAATTTAGTATTTTTCTACAAGATTAAATTTTATACAATATTTAAGATATAATGCTATTTTATTTCAATATATTAAGTACAATTGTAGGACACTCAAAAGTCTGAGCCACAACCATTAAGAGCTAATAAATGTAATCCAAAAAAAAAAGTATTGGAAATGTAAATTCAATTATAATATAAATGTACATCTTGAGAGAAAGGAAGGATGCTGAATCATTTCAGTGGGAAAACTGATAATGTAATTAATTATTCAGATTCAACTGAATCCTGTTGACAGGAAAAACCCAGGAAATTGAATCCAAACATCATTTATATGATATGCTGCTGATTGAGGATTAGCTATATTCTCAGTGCCAATCAATTTCCAGCATCCGGCAGCTTACTTCCCACAGTTTCTTGGCTTTTTCATCATCATAGGCAGATTGCGAACAGGTTGCACGCTTACAATCCCTGGTTTGAAAAGGAATGTTGAAATAGTCTACTTAGTTATGACTATGAAACTGCATTAACATCCCTCATCTCCATTTATCATCCCAACAATCCTAATTTTCAAATGAAGCAGATTACTTGCTCTCAATTCTGTCAATCAGTGGTGATGTTCAATTGATGAAAGTGCAAATTCTGGTTGGGAACTAGGGAGAGAGCTCTTGCTTCTTTCTTTGGAAGAGATCACAATATTCAACTTGGCCTCTCAGGCAATGAACTTCACTGTGCCACTATAATTGTATGTGAGCACATGTGCAGTCACTCAGAACAATAAAATATTTCATGAGCAAGTGTTAATGTGGGGGAACTGTTGCTCTGCAGCAATAGGACAGCTACAGTACAAATAACTCAATTTGTTCCTGAGGTACACTTTCACTCCCAGTTACAATTAGTTCTATTCATCCAACTTGAAATTTTGGAGCCTTTTTCCTCAATACCTACACTGACTTGCACAGTTCAAACAATATGCATTGCTTCCTCTTTTATGAAGTGCAGTACAAGAACATAAATCAACTGATGAAGTTGAATACTCAGTTAATTCCAGGTACTTGCGTGCTGCAAATGTTATTTGCCACTTATAGTCCAGGTCTGAATGTTGTTCAGGTCTTGCACATGACAAAAGAAAACTGATTATTGGACCCTCTTGTGGCATATTGGTATTGTCCCTGCACTGAACCAAGGACGCCCAGGTTCAAGTCCCACCTGCTCCGGAGGTGTGCAATAACATCTCTGAATGTGTTGATTGGGAAAAAATTAGGTAAAATTTAAAAAAAAAAAACTGATTAGTCATGAATGGTGCTGGAATTTGTCCAATTTAGTGAATTTCCCTATTTCTGACCTTATGAAGAAGCAGCTGAAGGTGGCTGGACCTAGGACATGATTCAGTGGAAGTAGGGGCTCTTGTGGTCATAGAATCCCTATAGTATGGAAGGTCATTTGGCCCAGAGTCACACCAACCCTCCAAACAGCATGCCACTGCAACCCATTTCTGTAACTCCACATTTACCATGGCTAACCCATCTAACCGACATATCCCTGGACACAACGGGCAATTTAGCATGGCCAATCCACCTAATCTGCACTTCTTTGGGCTGTGGGAGGAAACCGGAGCACCCAGTGGAAACTCACACAGACATGGGGAGAATGGGCAAACTCCACAGACAGTTGCCACAGCGTGGAATCGAACCAGGGTCTCTGGTGCTGTGAGGCAACAGTGCTAACCACTGAGCTGCCATGCTGCCCCCAGTGAACCAGGAGATTCAGATTTGCATCCTACCTGAATAGGTTGATTAAAAGTTATCTACAAGTGTAGACTGAAAATAATAAATACAAAATATTTAACCAGTGGTTCTTGGGTTCCTGTGCCTCAGGAGGCGATGTTCCTACCCTTTAGCCAGGCATTCAAGTCTGACCAGCTCCAGGAGGTTTTTCATAACATCCCTGAACAGGTTGGTTGGAAAATCTCTTGACGGAATTTCTGCAAATGTTCTGGACCTGAGATGATTGACCTCTAATAACCACAAAACATCCTCCTTTGTGATGGGTAGGATTCCAACCACTGGAGATTATTTCCCATTGGCTCCAGTTTCCTAGGATTCCCTAATGTCGCACACAGTCAAACGTTACCTTGATGTCAATGGCAGTCAAACACAACACCTCCAGTTCTACTCTTTTGTCCACGTCTGGATGCTGATGGGATCCATCAGTGAGCAGGTTTTTTTGCTTTCTTTATTTTTTCCAGGGAAAAGTCAGCATCTTTTGGACATCCCTTATTACTCTTGACCTGAATTTAAATGCCACTAGCTGTAATGGTGGGATTTGAACCCATGTCCCTAGATTAACAAGCTTGGCTTCTGGATTACTCCTACGTCATTACCTCTCTCTAGTTCGGAGGAAATTGCCACTTGATAGCACTGTTGATAACCCCTTCCATCTTATGGCAAGTGATCGAGGGGAGAATGATCGGGTGGTAATTGAATGGGTTAGTTCAGTTTTATTTTTGAACTGTCAAATCGGAGTAATTTCTCAATGGGAGGTGATAGTGGCATAGTGGTAATGTCATTGAACTAAAGTCCAGAGGGCTTAGATCAATAATCAGAAAACAGGTTCAAATTCCACCACCAGAGCCAGTGAATTTAAATTCAATCAATAATATGGTGCCATTACAATTATGCCCCTGATATACTGGCCGAGTGGGTGAAAGATGCTTTGTGGTAACTGTCTGGACCAGAAGGTCTGGGTCCAAGTCCAATCTGCCTCAGATTGGAGTTATAACATGTTTGATCAGGGTGATTAAAAATAATTTATAGTAAAACAAGCTCTCGTTCATGAAAGTCCATTTAAATCCAAAGTACTTAATCCAACATGAAATAAAATTTTGGTCAGAGAGAGCCACTGTAGAGACAATAGGTGAATAGCCTCCTGCTGAGCAGTAACAATCCTAAGATTTGTTTTTTGTATTCATAATCACACAAAGCCAACTAATCCTTTAGAAGACATGGAGTTGTCAATCAAACTAAGCTTTCATACCCCCTGCCCTACAGACCTAAATGATGGGTGTGGAGAGCAATCAAGCAGTAATGAAGTTTGAAATGCTATCTTTATAGCAATGACATCAAACAGTTATTGAAACTGCTTCCAATATTTGCAACTCTCAGACAACAAAGGTGGCAGTTTGTTTAAAAAAAAGGCTACTTAAACAACTTCACAGTTCTACAAACTTTCTCTGCCCTTCACAATTATTAAACTTTACTCTAAAACTTCATAACTCTCACACATATGGGCTAAGACCCTTGCTGCAACAAAAAATGGGATCTTTATGAACTTAGCATTGACAAAAATAGGATCCATTAGAAACTGGGGCAGAGAATGCAAGTCCTATACATCATCTTTAAAAAAGGTCTCCAGAGTCTTCACAATTTTGCAAAAATCTTAGCCTCTGTCCCATTTACCCAAGATCACCATTCTTACTGACCAATGCATCAAACTGAAATCAGAAAATGTTTCAGTATGCATTCAGCAATAATGTGAGAACACATGGTAGACTAATTAGTAAAATCAGGTCACATGGGATTCAGGGTGACATTGCCAGTTGGATACAAAATTGGCTTAACAGAAGGAGACAGAGTAATGGTGGAGGTTGCTTTTCAGACTGGAGGCCTGTGACCAGAGGTATTCAACAAGGATCGGTTTGGGGTCCTCTTTTGTTTGTCATCTATATAAATGACTTGGATCAGAATATAGAAGGCATGGTTAATATGTTGGCAGATGACACCAAAATTGGTGGCATAGTAGACAGTGAAGGTTTTCTAAGATTACAAAGGGATCTTGATCAAATGGGTCAATGGGCTGAAAAATTGCAGATGGAGTTCAATCTGGATAATTGCGAGGTATTGCATTTTAGAACAAACAAGGGTAGGGCTTATATAATTAATGGAAGGGCCTCGAGTAGTGTTATAGAACAGAGGGACCTAGGGGTGTAGGTACATAATTCTTTAAAGTTTGCATCACATATAGACAGGATGGTTAAGAGGGTGTTTGGCATGCTTGCCTTCATTGCTCAGTCCTTTCAGTACAGGAGGTGGGATGTTATATTGCGGTTGTACAGGACATTGGTGAGGCCTCTTCTGGAATACTGTGTCCAGTTTTGGTCGCTCCGTTATAAGAAGGATGTTATCAAGCTGGAGGGGGTTTAAGAGGAGATTTATCAGGATGTTGCTGGGTGTGGAAGGTTTGAATTATAAGGAAGGGCTGGATAGGCGACCTGATAGAAGTTTATAAAATAATGAGATGTATATATAGAGTTGATGGGAGTTGTCTTTTCCTTAAGATAGGGAAGTTCAAGACTAGGGGACACTTTTTAAGGTGAGAGGAGACAGAGATTTTAAAAAAGACATATGAGGTAAATTTGTTTTACAGAGGGTGGTTCACATGTGGAATAAACTCTGAGGAAGTGGTGCATATGGGTACAATAGCAATGTTTAAAAGACATTTGGATGGCTATATGAATAGGAAAGGTTTGCAGGGATATGGGCCAGGAGCAAGCAGGTGGGACTAGTTTGGTTTGGGATTATATTCGGTATGGACTGGTTGGACCAAAGAGAGGGTTTCTGTGCTGTAAGACTCTAACTACTTCCTTATGAAGTCTGTAAGTAAGAGCTAGAGGAATGTTCCTTAGAAGGATATTATTAGAATTAAAGAATGAAATAGATATTGATTTTACTTGAAGTACTGCCCAGTTTCCTCTTCCAGTCCTTCGGCCACAGCACAAAAAATGGTCGTCTCTGCACCGTGCGATGGAGACTTGGTGAAAGGTCGTAGCATTGCCAGGCCACACCGAACCACAGGATTCAAGTGTCGGGCTAGTTCAGTCCGCACCACTCCAGGATGCAAAGTAAATACCGAAACACCTGTCCCTATAACAGAAAGTGAAGGAGAGTGGATTTACACCAAGAAGAGTGGAATCTTAGTTTCTAGAGGTGGAAAGCTTGGAGGCTGGAAGGGCATTAAATTAGGCGGAGAGGTAGCTTACTCAAACCCTGCTGTCTTCCCATCTCCAATGGAATTAAGTTCAGCTGGGAGGGACCATGGTCAGCTACTGGCTTTTATCAACAATTGAGGTCTTAAACACCTATTACCATATGATATTCAAAATAGCTGCTCTTCACCTCAAGAGTTTGGGGGTGGGGAGACAAAGTTTTAGCTGCTTAGGATACATAATCAGAGTAGAGGGGATAGGGGAGAAAATGGCTGAGGGTGGATGGGAAGTGAAAGGTAAGGCCTCATGGGATCTATAGCTTCTAAAACAATTTGGATGTATCCCACAGAATGGAAGCAGGAATGCTAGCCAGACCATCTCAGCATTTGCCTTCCTCTACCTAGATCCACTTCCAGTGTTGACAGGGCTAACTCTATCCCCACCCATGCTGCTTCACTACAGAAGGAGGAAAAAAGGGTCTAGTGGGGGTCTTTGTAAGTAAGGTGGAGTGCCAGGTTGGGAACATTCCTAAACAAAGCTATCCTACCAGTTGGTGGCCTCCTTATTCTTCCTATTAAATGCAGCATCTCATGTTTAATTAACAATGTAATTAAATTTTTCCTATTAAACTCTCACTTTCTTTTGCTAGTTTAAGTAGCTATCCTTAACAGTCTGGATTTTCTGGTTTGTTGTCAACTTTTTGTGTATTCTGTTGCCTATCCTGATTCCATGTGCTTTCATCTTAGTCGAGTCTATCCAGGTGGTTCATCAAGATGTTTTGAAAATCTAAACATCTTGTATCACTTGAAACATTAACTCTTTTCCTCTCCCGAGATGCTCCTGAAATTAAGATTTTCAAGTACTTTCTATTTTAAGCACTCTAGATGTACATGGGCTCCAGAAGTTCAAGAAGCTAGCTCAATGCTTTCTCAAGGAAAATTCAAAATGGGCAATAAACACTAGTCTAGCCAGTATGCCAACATCCCATGAATAAACTATTTAAAAAAAAGGGCATTGGAGAGATGGATTTGAAGCTAAATAAGGGCAACTATACCTGCTGTTCTCCAATCTTCCAACATCATCCTTCAGCCAAGAAATCTCAAACCCTTTAGATTTGTTGGAGAACTGATGTGCAAATTTCTTCAGAGAGACAGTGGGTGATAGGACATAGCATGGTAGTTTAAGAGTTAAATATAGGTGTCTTAGGAAGAAAGTGTGTTGGTAGCAGGTTTGAGGAGGATAGCAAGGATGAAAATAGTAGCAAACATTTAGCTGGTAGAGAAGTAACTGGGTCAGAAGGGAACCAAGAGAGCAGACAGTGAATCTGTAGTCAAACCTGAGAAATTGGAGGTCACTGAATAAGACTTTGGTGGGTTTGAAGATGCTAACAATATGGAAGACAAGTCAGCAATTGCCAATATTGGTACACTGGAAAAGCTGCTATTAGTGTGTGTGCATGGGGGATGCGCGGAGGGTGGCAAGGGCACAGTATGTTCTGAGTGCAAAACTTAACATGTCCAAGAGTGGCTCAGCAGCACCACTATTAATCAATGCCTAAAAAGGACACAATTACTAAAGTGCATCTACAACATGTGGTGAAGGAACCAACCAGGAGAGTCTACTTGACCTGGTCCTTAGCAAGCTAACCTGTCACAGATCAGTCCATCCATAACAGTATTGATCGAAGAAGTTAGCATCACAGTGTTTGTGGAGATAAAATCTCATTATCACATTGAGGATACCTTCCATTATTGTGACAATATCCAAATCAGATGGATTTTAACAAGTCTCGTAATTCAAAACTGGGCATCCATGAGATGTTGTGGGCCATCAATAGAATTATATTGAATCAAATTTGTAAACTCATTGCCCACTGTATCTCCTACTCTACCATTACTATTAAGCCAAGAGTTTCACTCTGATACAAAGCAAGGAGGAGGAGTGTATGCCAGGAGCTGTACCAAGCATACCTGAAGATAAGGTGTCTACCAAGTGAAATTGCAGCACATGATTATTTACATGCCAAACAGCAGAAGCAGCTGCAATAGACAGGATTAAGTGACTACATAACCAAAGGGTGAGATCTCAGCTCTGAAGTCCTGCCATATTCAGTCATGAAAGATGGCAAACAATTGGAAGGAGATGGAGTTCTTCTTCTGGAGGGGAGTCACTGAACTTGAAATGTTAACTCTGCTTTCTCTCCACAGATGCTGCCAGACCTGCTGAGTTTCTCCAGCAATTTCTATTTTTGTCTCATATTTCCAGCATCTGCAGTTCTTTGTTTTGTATTAGCATCATTTAGCAGTTCTTAGTCAGAATTTTCTAAAACATAAATCTGAAATAAAAATCAAAGTGCACACAGGGATTAGGGGAAAAAAAAAAAGGGGTGAAATGGTTTAACTGCAGCTCTGGTTTATACCTATTGGAAGTGAGAGAGTTGTCTGGGCCAACACCAGAAAATTACCAAGATGGGAAACATTAAACAGTTTTGCTGGAGATCAGGGAAAATCTGGGAAGGAATTTAAAAAACAAAATCACAAAGCTATTGTAGTGAAAGGCTAAAGGCTTGATATTTGGAAATTTGGGAGTAGTCTCAAGGTGAGTTGTACAGAAATCTTTGTCTGGAATAGAAGCAGATGGACTTGTGGTTAAGAAGGTAGAGCAGGGATTCAGAAATTGGAAGTATTCTTTAAATATGAAAACTGGATAATATGTTAGGACAATATATTGAAAAAAATAAAAGAGAAATAGAACCTTTATAAATGCAAAACAGTACAGGAAAAACACAATTCAAAATTACCAGAAAGTGGGAAATACTGTTTTTCTAAAGCAGCCTTTTGAACTGGCAGATTGTGGTAAAAATCATTAAAAAACCAAACAATTTAAAGCGACTCTTTAACCATAATGTTTTCAAAATCTATTTCCATCCACATAATTTATTTCAACTGGACTTTACCTTCAAGTTTTCGTGCCAGTTCCCTTGTAAACATAATATTGGCTAGTTTGCTCTGTGCATAAGCCTTCACTGAATTGTAGCTCTTCTCGCTGTTTAAGTCATCAAAATTAATGCTTCCCATTGTATGTGCAGTTGAGGAGACATTGATGATACGAGAAGGAGTGGACTGTTTTACTAAATCAATCAGTAAAAACGTTAATAAAAAATGACCTGAAAAAAGAAATTAAATTCATTAGTTTGAAAAAAAACTTGAAGCTAATATGCAAAATCTTCACTAGTTTATTTATATCGCATTTTTAATACATTGAAACATCAAGATATTTCACAGGAGAATAATTAAACAAAACATGACAGCGACCCACATAAGGTGGAAAATCTTGGTCAAAAGGGGTGTTTTGAAGGAGCATCTTTAAAAGAAAGTGAATAGAGAGGCAGATTTAGAGGATATTTCCAGAGTATAGGTCCATGGCAGCGGAAGACATGGCCACCAATGTTGGCCTAGTTTAAATTCAGGATGCTCAAAAAGTTAGAGGAGTTGAGGAATTGAGATAGCTCAGTAGGTCATGGTGCTGGAGGAAATGAGAGAGTGAGTCATGAAGCCATGGAGTGATTTAAAAATAAGGATGAGAGTTTTAAAATTGAGGCGTTTTTCAACCAGGGATCAATATAGGTCAGTGAGTCCAGACAGTGTGATTAAATGGGGTCTTTTTGCAAATAAGGATACCTGCAAAAAAGTTTTGGACAAGCCAAGAATGTGCCTGAATAGCTAAGACGTCACAAAGGCACAGACGAAGTTATCAGCAGTAGATGAGCTGCGACTAGGCCAGATGTTAAAACTTTGCGTTGCTACATGGAGCTTTCAGACCCTTGTTTTGAAATCCCTCTCTATTTCTCTCTTCAGGAGAGTAGTTCACATAATTGCAATTGTAGCAGATTTAAAACAAATGCCAAAACCCTGACCCTTTTCTGTATACTATTAAGGATTTATCACTACGAAATAAAATTCTGATTTCACAAATCAGATTATTTGAATAGGATAGTGATCATTCTGAAATATCTTCATTTTACAAATGCAGCAGTCACTTTGCTTGACCAGCAGAGATGATTACACTACAATGGCATCCTTAAAAACAGCAAATCCAAATTTACACAGTGAAATTTCCAAAAAAAAAGAGGTAACTACATAAAGCAAAGGTTTACAATAAAGACATCTTATACATCAAAGGTGGCTTTAGAAGTTTTGCAGATTTTCTATTTAAACTCACCTAAATGATTGATCCCAAACTGTAGTTCAAACCCATCCACGGTTTTAGAATAAGGGCACATCATTACTCCAGCATTATTGATCAGAATGTTAAGGTGCTGGTATTCTGAGATAGAGAGAGAAAATCCAGTTAAAAGCCACTCTAATAGTTTACTGAAATCATCATTAATCCAGTGATCATTACAAAGAAACATGTTGGTCTTAATTACATATTCCTAAAACTTGTTAACCCCTTTTTTTAAAAAGTTGGACACTCATAGTGGAACCTTATCTGATCCAAAACTTAAAATTGGAGGTAATGTCATAGTGATAATATCATGGGAATAGTAATCCAGAGCCTCAGGATAATTTCTGGGGACATGGCTCGAAATCATTCTGGCAGTTGGTGAAATTTTAATTCAATCAAATCTGAAATTGAAAGCTGGCCTAACAGCTACCATGTAACCACAGCGATTGTTACAAAACTCGGAAAACTAACAGGGCTAAAGTCTGAGAAGTCCCCTGGACCTAATGGGCTGTATCCTAGGATTTTAAAGAAAATAGCTATAGAGATAGTTAAATGCACCGTTAGTAACTTTTTAAAATGCTCTTAGACCTTGGAAAAGTCCCAGAGGATTGTTAAAACTACATCCACATTCAGCTGGTAATAGTGAAGGCAAATGGAATGTTGGCCTTTATTTCAAAGGGAATGGAGTATAAAAATAGGGAAGTCTTACTAAAGCTCTACAAGGCACTGGTTAGACCATAGCTGGAATACTGTGAACAGATTGGACCACTTACCCAATGAAAGAAACAGTCTGACAATGGGGGCAGTCCAGAGAAGATTCGCTGAGCAGATTCCAGGTATGGAGGGATTTTATGAAGAGAGGTCAAGTAGGTTGAGTCATTAAAGTTTAGAAGAATGAGAAGACTATTTAAAACATGCAAGATTCTTAGGGAGCTTGATATAGTAGAAGCGGAGAGGTTATTTCCCTTTGTGAGGAGTCCCTAGGACCATAGCGCATGATCTCAGGAGTAAGGAGTCATCCATTTAAGACAGAGAAGGAGGAGTTTTTTTTCCCCTCTCAGAGTAGTGAATCTGTGGAATTCTGTGCTTCAGTGGACTTTTGAGGCTGGGTGTCAAATATATTTAAGACTGAGATAGACAGATTTATAATTAGTAAGGGAATCGAGGGTTCTGGGGAAAATGGGCAAGAAAGTGGTGTTGAGGTTTATCACATCAGTAATGATTTCATTCAATGTTGGTGCAGACTCAAATGGGCTGCGTGACCTACTTCCACATCTAGTGGTAAGAGTTAGAACAAAACAACTTGTAGGCATGGAAAAAATATATTGCGGAATTGTAATTTCTAAATAATGTCAGAAATATATTTTTTTTACCCACACACAATTAAGTAGAGTCGGAGTCAGAGCATGGAAACAGACCCTTTGGTCAAACCAGTCCATGTCAAACATAATTGCAAACTAAAACTAGTCCCACCTGGCTGCGTTTGGCCCATATCCCTCCAAACATTTCTTATTCATTTACTTGTCTTTTAAATGTTGCAACTGTACCCATATCCACCACTTCCTCTGGAAGTTCATTCTACACAGTAACCACGAAAAAAAAATGTTGCCTCTCGCATCCTTTTTAAATCTTTCTCCTCTCACCTTAAAAAAAAAAATGCACCCTAGTGTTGAAACCCCCACCATACGGAAAAGACACCTGCTATTCACCTTATCTATACTCCTTGTTATTTTATAAATCTCAAAGGTCATCACTCAACTTCTTGTGCTCCAGTGAAAATGGTCCCAGCCTATCCAGCCTCTCCTTATAACTCAAACCCTCCATTAGACAAGGGAGGATTCTGAAGAGAGCTCACTGACCCAAAAGCGAAGCCTGGTTCTCCCTCTACAAATGCCGTAAGATATGTTGAGTATTTCCACCAATTTGCCTTTTCTTTCTGATTTGCAGCATCCACAATATTTTATATTTGTAGGAGATAATCCTATTCGGTCAGTTATTGTAACTCTAGGGCAGGTCTTATAGCAATAGTGTCCCTATCTCTGGGCCAGAAGCTCCAATCCTACACCAGGACTAAATAAAAACTGAAAAGAACTGGGGATGCTTGTAAATCAGAAGCAAAAAAAAAAAAAAAACGGAAGTTGCTGGAAAAGCTCAGCAGGTCTGGCAGCATTTGTGGAGAGAAATCACACAATTAACATTTCTGGTCTGGTAACCAATGCACTGCAACACTTTGTCTAGAATCACAAAATCAATCTGATGGAAGTGCATGGCCCAATTTTTGGAAACAAGGAAGCCAGACAAACAGCAATTCTAACTTTGATTGAGAGGGTCTTTCTATTGCTCAGTCAATTGTTTGCAAAGAAGTACAGACAAGCCAGAATTGGCATGTGGAGTTCTAAAAGCAGTCCTTTCTAGTGAAATATGTCACGATTTTAAGTACATACGATTACTAAGCCTTCCAAGGAGTCTCAGTACCAAAATGGAATGCTCCAAACTGAGAAAGTGATTTCCACCCTCACTTCCTATCACATTGTACTTACTTATAAAAATGCAAAACCATTTAGCTAATACAGACAATTTTGATGCCAAAGCAAAATGCTGTCAATGACAGCAATCCAAAGTATAAATGGCAAAGTGCTAGAAATGGGCAGCATCTATAAAGAGAGTTAACGATTCTAAACTTTTGACGATGGGTATCTAACATGAAACATTAAGTTTCTCTCCATAGATGCGGCTTGACCCGAGTGTGTCGTGTTTCCTGCATTTTAAAAAATTAATTCATGGGCATCGTTAGCTGGACCAGCATTTAGTGTCCATCCCTAATTGCATAGAGGGCAGTTAAGAGTCAATCTATTCTGGTCGGTCCAGCATGTTTTTCAACCAATGGAACACACTAAATTACTTCACTAATGTCTGAATGAGGTACAAATCTATCACTGACAGGACGCACTGACTGGCGAACATCTCACTGTGATTTCTATGGTCAGCCAGCAGGTGGAGCATGGACAAGACCCTCTACTGTCAGGCTGAACTCACAGAGTCAGATTGTGGGTCATCCTACAGGTTAAGGCTGAAAATAAGTTTACAGGTTTACTAGCAGGCCAGAGGTCTTCAGACTGAACACCATCGGCTTTATCTTCCCCTTGATTATTCACCCTCACTTTACCCACCACTTTCCCTACCCAACAGGTGTGGTTGCATAAATCCAAAACCCCACTAATGTTTGGGATCAGAGTTGCCCATGTCATGCATTGGCCAGGTCAGTTGGGAAATTCAGCAACTTATTTAAACTGAGATTCTACTATCAATACCTGCAGGGTCACAACATCCAATTATGGTCTCACCCACACTTTTCCCATAAACACAGAGGTATGATTACTTGAAAGGAGCATCCCAACCAGAAACTATCTGGTTCATTCTAATTGCACAGGTTTGCAATCTGCAACTTTTGAATGCGCTTTCACAAAATAGCATACCAAAATAAAAAAGAAAAGGTTATCACAGTTTGAAATAAGAACACATACCTTCATTAATTTGTTTAGCGAACTCCCGAATAGATTTGGTGTCAGCTAAATCCAACTTCTTCACCACTATATAACCATTTCCCGTCTCCTCCGTTATTTCTTTAGCTGCAGCCTCACCTTTCTCGGTGTCTCTGCATGCCATGATAATCACAGCTCCTATATGTATTAGGACATATAACAGAAGGGCAAAGTAGAAAATAAACTACTCACACGGAAGTTGTGCTCAGCACTACCACAGGTGTTATCACATCTCAATCAAAACATTTTCTTGTTTGACTCAATTTTATGTTAAGAGGTCAACAAGTACAATAAAACAAATAACTCCCACCGGGACGTGCTGGCATGTAAACTTGAGCAGTTTTCCCCTTTATTTTTGCTGTTAATGAACTGCTAGTGACAACTCTAAGATACAGGTGGACTGTATCACAGGATTCTAGCAACCATGACACAGCTCCCAAACCCCTTGTTGCTCCCCCTCCCAACACTGCCCTCAACTCCCTTGGCATTGCTCACCATCCTCCCCCCTCTGCCGACACTGATCACCATTGGTCTAAACGGATGTCAAACCAGGGCCAGCATTGTCTTGGTGCAGGGGTGTTGGTCAACAGTTTCACAGTGTACAGCACAGGGAGGAGTACAGTGCTGGGTGAAGGAAAGAAGGGACATCAGATGACAAAGCCATTTAAGAACAACTAAAATTCAATGAACTGAAGACAGACCTCAAGGGACGTGTCTCCATTTTGTCACAATGGACAGCAAGTAACTTTGTCATAATCGCCCTTCACAACAGGCCTCCTGATTCACCTTGCTGATGGATCCACACCCAAGCTGGACCTGGAAGATCTTAAGGCCACAGTTTTATATGGGGTCAGTGACATGCTCTCTTGCTGACTGGAAGATCTGGGACATTAATTTAGAACAAATTCAGAAATCAAGGAATTACTAACTGTCGATCGACTGTTAAGAAAGGCACAAATAAATGTGCTGTATAAAACTAAATCAGTCATATTTAAATAAGGTAAAAGGCATTCTTTAAATCTAACACTTAATTTCCTAATAGCACATCATATGAGGAGTTGGCAACCGTAGTTCCATGTGGCAGCATCTATTAAATTGGTCTTAGACTCAAAACATTAACTCTTTTTCTCTCAATGGAAGATGCCAGACTTGCTGTCGTTCTCTAGCACTTTGATTTCAGATGCACAATATTTGCTTTTGTTAATATGTGGAATGTTACGGTTTTGCTGGATATCAAATCAAGATTGTGCCCACCTTCCCTATTTTGTATAATAGAGGAAGATCCAGTAAATCAAACTGTTGCACTATACAGGACTAAATAAAAGAAGCCAGGAAAAAATACAACAAATAAGCAGAGCTAACTGCATCACTGAAAGCAGCTGCATTTGAGGTAGCAGGTTTGGAAATGCAGTCATTAATTATTTATCCAGCATTGGGATCACTGTGGTGGTTATTAAATGGTATATATTTCTCACTTGGGAAATTGTGCTGATAGTTGTTTCCCACTAAGATTTGACAACTTTGGAAGTCCCAATTTTCTTCTCTGATGAAGACAGGCCAACAGAAAACACTGACCAAGTTTCTGTACTCAAAGAAACTCCTTAAAACATTAAATGTGAAATTTATTCACTAAATACATTATTGAAACAAATAAAGGATTTCTATTCTACTATAAACAATAGATGTTTTTACTAATACAATATTCATAACCTCAACTGTCAAAATGTAATAAGTGCATATTAATGGTAAGGTTCTTGGTAGTGTGGATGAGCAGAGAGATCTCGGAGTCCATGTGCATAGATCACTGCAAGTTGCCACCCAGGTTGATAGCGTTGTTAAGAAGGCGTACGGTGTGTTAGGTTTTATTGGTAGAGGGATTGAGTTTCGGACCCATGAGGTCATGTTGCAGCTGTACAAAATTCTGGTGCGGCCGCACTTGGGGTATTGCGTACAGTTCTGGTCACCGCATTATAGGAAGGATGTGGAAGCATTGGAAAGGGTGCAGAGGAGATTTACCAGGATGTTGCCTAGTATGGAGGGAAGGTCTTATGAGGAAAGGCTGAGGGACTTGAGGCTGTTTTCGTTAGAGAGAAGAAGGTTAAGAGGTGACTTCATAGAGACATACAAGATGATCAGAGGATTAGATAGGGTGGACAGTGGGAGCCTTTTTCCTCGGATGGTGATGGCTAGCACGAGGGGACATAGCTTTAAATTGAGGGGTGATAGATATAGGACAGATGTCAGAGGTAGGTTCTTTACTCAGAGAGTAGTAAGGGTGTGGAATGCCCTGCCTGCAAAAGTAGTAGACTCGCCCACTTTAAGGGCATTTAAATGGTCATTGGATAAACATATGGATGATAATGGAATAGTGTAGGTTAGACAGGCTTCAGATTGGTTTCACAGGTCAGTGCAACATCGAGGGCCGAAGGGCCTGTACTGCGCTGTAATGTTCTATGTTCTCTGTTCAGATAACTTAAGATTTCCATTTAGTGGGAATTTGTAAGGATTCCTTTTTTCTAAAAGCCAAGTCCAAAATGCTTCCCAAAATAACTTATGTCACAATTAAAATTGAGAGTAAAGATTTTGTCACTCAATGTTGAACAGTAACATTTAGCCACATTTAGCCCCAGAAAATTCAGTGAACTTCAAGTCATTAAACAGTAAACAAGTTGTTAAATTACTGGTCACCTCTTCTAGCCAGGTCTTTTGCAGTCTCTTTGCCAATTCCAGTGTTAGCACCAGTTATTAATATAATCTGCTCATCCAGTCTCTTTCCTGCCCATCTCTGCACTGGCTTACTGTTGACAAATGAAAATTCGAAACAAAAATGTTAATCATAGTTCTGATTTTATCTAAAGACTCATTATCAGATGTCTGGAATTACAGTGAGTTTTATTGTATCTCCCAAACCTCTGTAACCTCCGTCTGCCCAGAATTTTGCAGGAATGCTGTTCTTCAAATTCTGAGAATCTGAGCCACCACTGCCTTCAAGCTGGTGTGCCATCTTCCATGCCTCTTTATAGCCCTTATGCCAACTTTGGGGTACCTCATCCCAGCTCATATTCCCACCTACCAGGCCATCTATCGATGGAAAGATCTCAGCACCCATGCTGAGATTAAATAACATCAGGTTTTAAGTGACTATTGCAAACTTGAATTTTTAAAGAAAATAAAGCTCCATAACAAATTATTACTACTACAATTAACTTTTTTCAACTACTAAGATAATATGTCTGGTTTAAGGCATTAAGTGCTTAATCCTTATAACAAAATGCTGGTCTTGGTGCTATCAAACTGTGAAATGGCTGGCACGCAAACATGAGAATGAAAGGTTGTGAAATCAATCACGCTGTATTAATCTGGTAATAACAATCTTCAGATTTATTTCTGCAGAGTGATTTGCACTGACTGTTTTAATACTCTAGACATTTTTTCCAATGATTTAACATGACTGGAATTTTAACTGTCTTGCCATTTTTGGCAATTCTCTTCAATAATTTCTTCTGCTAGGTCCATTTGGCACTTTCATTCGCTCCCTTTGACACATCTGTTGATTTGACAGTTAGAGTTTAAAACCTGTTCGAGGCCAACTACCTTCCCTAAAGGTGTCCTAAAACCATAGCCAAAAGAAGTACCCGAGCTGCTTCGACTAGGTTTACTTTGTGCTTGCCATGTTTTGGATATTCAGGTCACCAAAAATTGCAGGAGTGAAGACAGCTACCAATTTCTACAGCAGCCACCTCCATTAAAACATGCACACGTGAAACATGCCTCAATCTCACCCCCACTAAAAATGGGTATGGGTGTACTTGGCCACTTCCATCATCTTCACCATGTCGGAGAGGATCCAGACTTGAGTAACCTGTCCAAAATATCCCTTCCTTTTGCTTAGTGCCAACTTTCATCTAACGTTTCCACGAAATGCCTCAAGATATTCTCTATGCTGATTAGAACACAACAGATACATGAAATAGGTTAGGTGATCCCTCATGTCTTGCTGCTCCATTCAACAAGATATGGTTGATTTTTGTATCATTCTAACAGTGCCCAGAAATCTACTGATCACATTTTGTGTATACTCATCAGCTCAGAGACCAAAGCTCTCTGGAGTAGAAAGTTCCAAGAAATTAAAAAGCACCGTAGAAGTAAAAGTTCATTGTGCTGTCATGGTTGACAATGTTAGGTTTTTAGTATCAAAACTGAGATTACTGGCTGATAATCGTTGAGCTGGTGATTGGAAGTGATCCAACTTCATTCACTTCACTACAGAGAGGAAAAGAACAAACACTAGAATTTTAAAATAACTGTTTTGATGAAGAGGTTCCAAACAGAATTGTTAAACTGTCTTTTCAGATGCTTGAAGATCAAACTTCATTTGCAATTCCTCTCTTTTTAATCTGTGCAGATTCAGAATAAAGTTTGACACTCAACCCTACTTAGGCTGGAGCATGGCATAGGGACTGGAAACGTTCTTGAAATTGTGCGCCAAATGAGAGTGCTCAGTTCACATTAGAATTTCAAAAATAGGTGCTCTTAAAACCGATATTAGGCACAGCATAGGAAAATTGAAGCCTCCTTATTACTTTTTGGAAATGTGTTTTCACTTCAGGAATCCATAAAAAGTGTCTGATTCAAGAAGACAAACTGTTTTCCTGCATATCCTGAATTTTAACATCAACAAGATAGGAACAAACATGCACAGTAATTTTTGCCCCTTCTCAACTTCGATCGCGAAGACTGAATGGGACACAAATGGATATTAAAATCCACCCAACCTACTAACCAACAACTTATATTTCTGGTATTTATGGTTCTGAAGGGTCACTGGACCTGAAACTAACTCTTTCTCTCCACAGATGCTGCCAGACCTGAGTTTCTCCAGCAATTTCTGTTTTTGTTTCAGATTTCCAGCATCCACATTTATGTTTTATTTTAACATATTTATTTCATGCCTGCAACATAACAAACATGCCCCAAGATGCATCACAGGGGTGTTAGAAAAAAACCCAAAAATAACAGGATGGATGGACTTCACCAAGATCATTCAGACAACTCATGACCGGAAGCAATTAACACACAAAGAGGAAACCAGGGAAGAGAGTTTCCCCAACTTTGGCCAACCATATCTAGTAACTTGTTAGATTGTGAATACAGGTCATGTGATAGTAAGCTAACTGGTCCAGAGTTAGAGTGTAGAGCATAAATGGACAGCAAATTCTGAGGAAGGGTCACCAGACCCAAAATGTTAACTCTGATTTTTCTTCACAGCTGCTGCCAGACCTGCTGAGCTTTTCCAGCAACTTCTGTTTTTCATTGCAAGTAAGGACTAACAGAAAGAGAACTCGTAGTCTCTCTCTCTAACTGTTCTGTAAGCACATGCCCTGACCAGCCAAACACAGCAAACAATGCCTTCAATATAAACCACACAGTTGCTAACTTCAGAGGAAAATACAGAGACCATCTATCAAGACTTTAATTCTGTGCAGACAGAATTAAAGAAAATAAAATATACAACAGAGAGAAACTGTTTATGACTGACGTTCTTTTGCACATTTAAAACAATTTAACCTACCCGTTCTGCTCCTAACCTGTTTGTGTACATGCACAAATGTCTCTAGGGTGCATTTATTCGCTATTAAAAGGACATAAACATGGTTTCCCTTTTTTTTGGAACTTACAAGATTAGTCTGTATGTGTTTCAGAGTCACAATACTTCATTAAATAATCATTAAATCTGACAAGCAATTGAAAGATAGATATCTGCTATGGACAACCAAGGGACAGAGAGGGAAACCATTCAACCGCTTCTCACCTGGCCTTAACATACCGACATCTGTGGAATTCACTGTATTATCCCAATGGTAACACAAACAACCAAATCAGATCCCTAATCGAGTTTGCTAACAAAGCAATGTAATTCACAGTATTTTCAGAAATGTTTGGAATAGATATATCAATGCACACTGGGCAAAGTCTTAAAAGAAATTCGGCATTGGATAACCTTGTCTCTGACTGCTTTCAAGAAAAATATAGACTGTTCTTCATCCATTTCATAGAACGGAGAGTTGAAGTACATATCCTTCTTTCAGCCTGGAAGGTACATAATGTCACCATTTGACTATTGACAACGGAATACACAGGTGTAAAAAAGTTAGTGTTAATCTTTAATATGTTTAGATACTTGTGTAGCTCAAGAAAGAGAGATCAGATTTGTGTGTGTTCGTTATCATTTGTATCACAATTTTTAAACTTCTTTGCTTTGTTGTTAAAAAAAATGGTGTGTGGTGTGTCAGTAAAGCACAGAACTATTCCTAATATTAAACTGTAAAAATGTGGGAGATTTTATAGTTTTGTTCACGTGATGGAACCTATAAAAATTATACATAAAATTCCCAATGTTCCTGTTCGAAGCTTGGATCTCTGGTTTTGAACAGTGTACAAAAGTGCCCTTGGGAAGAATATATAACCAGTTAGGTCATTAGAGTGAAGTGTTTGTGATAGTTCCAGACCAGGTAAGAGCCAGAAGTGTTTACTTAGGAGTATACAGGGAAGCTCAAGTTTATTATAGTTACAGGAAGAAGTCATCTGCAGTTCCAGTTTGAAATCACGACTGACGTAAACCTTTTAAAAGGTGTCCAATACAGATTTTCCAGAGTCAGTATCATATAAGTAGTGCTTTGAAAACAGTACTAGGAGAAGTGTTTGGGTACTGTACAAAAGCAATTTTTTGTTTCTTTTCAATTTATAAAACAGAGTGTTTTGGTATTGATGGGTTTATAATTTGATTGTGTTTAAAGCTCGAATTTGTATCACAAGTAGATTGCTTGTATTGTTCTATTTTATCTTCATTACCTTTTTAATAAGCTTTATTTTGTTGGAAAGCGAAATCTGCAGCATTGAGTGCTTATGGTTCAATGAGAGATCATGTCATTAACACTAAAACAAATTAAAATATGATTTACCAAACCAGGTTCCTGACTGGGATCTGACTAATCTGTTATAACTACTGCTGGGATCATAATATCAGACAGAAGAAATTTAAGTTGATAGAAGGAAGATAATAAATTCTTACAGGAAAAGTAAATCTCCCCATACCTACAGGCATTCAAATGACTTTACAGGAAGGATGTGATTGCACTGGAGGGGATGCAGAGGAGATTCACCAGGATGTTGCCTGGGATGGAAAATTTAAGTTATGTGGAAAGGTTGGATAGGCTTGGATTGTTTTTGTCAGAGCAGAGAAGACTGATGGGTGATCTGATGCAGGTGTACAAGATTAGGAGGGGTATGGAGAGAGTGAACACAGCGTGGAGCTGGAGGAAGACAGCAGGTCAGGCAGTATCAGAGGAGCAGGAAATTCAACATTTCAGGTCAGGACCCTTCTTCAAAACTGGGGAAGAGGGAAGGGTGCTGGGAAAAGGTAGGTGGGATTGTGGTAAGTGGATGCAGGTGCGGGGTTGTAGGGATTGGTCAGTGGGAAGGATGGGGCAGATAAGTGGGAAAAATGGACAGGATATGCCAGGTCAAGGAGGAGGGGAGGAGAGGGTTGGATGTGGGATAAGGCTGGGGTGGGGAGATACTAAAATTGGTGAATTCTATGTTCAGGCCATTGGGCTGTAGGCTCCTGAGGTGGAATATGAGGTGGTGCTCCTCCAGTTTGAATGTGGCATCACTGACACTGGAGTTGGCCCAGGATAGACATGTCATACGGGGGAAGTAAAAATGGATAGTGACCGGAAGGTGTTGTCGATTATCACGTACAGAGCACAGATGGTCCAGTGAGACCAAACGCAGACTC